GAAGGAAGGAAGGAAGGAAGGAAGGAAGGAAGGAAGGAAGGAAGGAAGGAAGGAAGGAAGGAAGGAAAGAAGGAAAGAAAGAAGGAAAGAAGGAAGAAGGGAGGGAAGAAAGAAGGAAAGAAAGGAAAGAAAGGAAGAAAGAAATGAGATTTTATCCTTTTATCCATCCACCTGTCTATATATCAATTTGTGTATGTTAAAGACCCCAGTACAAAGTATTTCAGTTGCTGCACTTTATGCTGTTTCCATCATGGCATATGCAAGTAAAAGCCACCTGGCTAAAACCACTGTCCAGCCTGTTGAAAGTGAAAAGCTGCCATGGTAGATCCTCCTGGCTATACTCCTAGACTTTATCTAGACCCATGGCTCAGTGTGTTGCTTTGCCAGTCCTATTCTGAGTCCGCTTCAGTCTGGGGCCCTGTCCAGAGCCTGACTGATCTTGAGAAGACTGAGAAGGGATGAACCTTGAAAAGCTACTTTTCACTTTTCTCATCATGCATCAGAAAGGACCTTTGCAGCTATCATTTCATAGGTTGTTCTATCAGAGGAGGAAAAGTGCATTTATCAGGATAATCCCTTCTAACCCTATACCTGAGGCAGAGACAAAGCTAAATTTGGTGTTTTTTTCATATGTCTAATATGATCATATTCTTAAATTAAGAGAACCCTTAGGGTAAAAAAATCAAATAGATTTTCTACAGATGAAATATCCTACTAGATGACATTTCATAAAATTGCTTACTTCTGTCAGTTTTCCAGTGACTTCATAGTCTTCATTCAACCAGGTTCCATACAGTTATTTATTAAAATGTCTTACCTTGTCGCTGCTTTTCTATATAGTGGGAAATATTGAAGATCAGCGATATAATTAGAGCCAAACCCAACAAGGCTAGAAGTCCCCAGAGGAAAAAGGGGCATTCAGTGCTTCCTGGAAACAAAAATAAAGATATGGATGATATAGTTAGTAGCTCACCACCCATTTGCTTGAATCAGGTTAGTTTCACAATTAAAACCATTGCATTTATTCTGCCAGGACATTAATCAACACCAACAAGCAAAGACGGATTTCAAAGTGGGTGTTGGTGATTAAGTCCTCGAGTTCAGCATGGGCAAAATGAAACCAGTTTCCTACATTCCTTAGACAAAAGAGAAGATATTTTCAGTCCATTAAAAGATGAAAAGTGGCGACTGATTATAAAAACTATGGTTCAAAATCAAGAATATCCTAACTAGTAAGAATCATAATTTGCTGTACTTTTCCTTTACTTTAACCTTCAGACTAAAAATCACATATATTTTCATTATTCACAGAAAACCACTTTTTCCTTTCCAAAATTCCTGCAATATAAGATACTATGTGTGGGGATATAATAATTCTGGAATCATAGCAACCCAGTTTTGTTAGTGCCATGAATGAGCACCAGAGTTTATTATGGTTCTCTTTCTCCTTGTGAAGGCCCCATTTGTCATTTTATTCTTGAGCATGAAGAGAGTTTTGTGGCATGTTGCTTGTCAGTTGCTCTTGATAATTTATAGCTATCTTTACTCACACAGAGTTCACCGAAAAATGTATACACCCTTCAGGAAAAAAAATAGTATGATGTTTTTTAACAGAAGGTGTTACCCTCAAATGGGTGCCCTATAGGATGTTGTATAACATAAAAAACTCACTACTCTGCTGGCCCTTAGAGAAGAAATTGAAAATGCATATGTAGCAGTCTCAATGGCCAAGATTACTCAAGGAGCAATTTGCCATACTAATAAATGTATGGAAGCTAATGGCCACCATTTTCAGCACCTTTTGTAATTGTAGAGGCCAAAGGTGATTTGTAGTAACCTCGTGATATCTCAATAAATTTAGTATTAAAATATTTATATATGCTTTTCTTTTTCCTGAAGTGTGTATACATTTTTTTGGTAGATTCTGAATGACAACTAAAATAATTTGCTTGATTTGATGTATCTTAGTAGTCTGATCTCCATATGACCCATGTGATAGGCTGATCTCAGGACAGTAACTTATAATTCTATATCATATTTATTTATTCAACCAGTATCAATTAGACAGAGCTTCTGAATCAGGAGCTAGGAAACCAAAGATAAAGACAATACAAAATAAAACAAGCCATAATCCTCACTCTCAAGAAACTCTGTTTAGATGGGGACATAAATGTTAAATGCATAATTAGAAATGCAGTGTGAAGATAGCCACAATGGGGATCATATTTCTTCACAGTCCCAACTCTCTGGGTATAAGACTATTTAAAATCAATGACCATTTTAGGCCTTTCAAAGAAATTACAATACCAGTATATTAAACAGTAAACAAAACATACAATCTCTTAACAGGGGGTAAATTAGCTTTGCTTCTCTAGTCTGCTTTTAAAGTATCAAATAAAAATTCTCTAAACCAAAATATGTGTTATGCTGCTCTACATTACTTATTTTTTATATCTCACATTTAGCACTTGAATTGTGATTTTTTCTTCAACTTGTCATTGACATTTCAGTGGTTGTTCAGCTGCTCTCAGTGGTCCTGTGTATTTGAGCTGGCCTCACTGATTTTTAAATGTTCACAGGCAGGCATATGAAGGATTAAGTATAGAAAATGTGTATTATTTGATTATTATATAGTTTTGTATATATAAATGCATATAATTTGCATATTGCTTGTTACATATATACACTGCTTTAGTCTGAACTAATTTGAATCTCTTTTGATGCCAAAAAATTGTGTTTATTATTTCCTCTTTAATAAAGTACCATGTTATTTCTAGATGTTCAAAATACCTTAAAGTCTACTTAGAATAGTGCTATTTATGCATTTTATTCTGCAAACCCATAGAATGTATGCTTTGTAAGTTTTTTCAAGAATTAATTAATAAATTGAAAATATTAACTGATAATGGTAGTGAAATGTGTGACTTTATTTTCCTTAGGAGAATTTGAGAAGGCTTAAATAGTCCTTTGCCCTCTAAAAATTAATTTGATTAAAACCACTATTTTTACAAGGTAAAAGGTCTGGTTTATTTCTCATGAACATAAGCCTACTAAATATTTATGAGAATGGTGCTGCATAATAACTATTAACTATATTAGATATGTTAGAAATTCTGTGTATCACATGATACTGCCTATATTCCTAAAATTGATTTTTAGATATTTAGCTGTACACTTAATAAATGATAATAAATTTTTAAAATTCCAAATGCCAAAATATAGAATAACATATAACATAACATGCTATGTTTCTCTACTGAAATCTAAATGGGGCATATTATACTAATTAGCCTTTTTAAACTAGTAGTGTTTGGGAAATTTTTTATCATGTCTGTGTGTTATTTTTAGTGTCTGCCTAGAGTTCTACAGTGTTGTTGAGATATAATTCATCTAGCTGTTTTGCTAGGATGGACAAGTTAATTTTTAAAAACATTTTTCCCATTCAAGAAATTATGCAGAAAACATCACTGGGTGTTTTGTGCATATGTGGACTTCATCTGTACAAGAGGTGGTCGCTGGAGGTAGAATTTCTAGCCCCTAGAGCATGTTGAGAGTTTTTCAAGGTTTTGGAGATTGCTCCCCACTCCCCTCTCCTCCTCCTTACCCATCATGGATAATAATCCTTTTCAAGTGGCTGATGTAACTGTATTGCACAAAAGGAGGCCAGCAATCTGTCTCACTTGCCAAATGAGTCTGAGTTCCTTTCTTTGCTACTGAAGTACAGGGCCAAAGGGGCAATTTCTGTTTTTAAAGACCTTCACTCTTGTTTTCTTCTTATGCATTCATTTAAATACCGATAATCTAGGTGCAGTTCTAGGGGTTTCTTTTGAGATTTGTGACAATTTGAAAAACTTATAGATGAACCATATAGCCTAGAAATGTTGAAAAATTAAGAAAAAAGATATGAATCAATAAAATGTATGTAGCTAATAGTCTATTTTATAATTTACTACTATAAAATACACATAAGTCTTCTGTAAAGAGCTGAAAATTATTAAAATGTGTGCACACAAACACTTATAGGCCATCTAGCCATCCATTTATAGTCAAGAAAATGTAAACAAAGTAAAGATGCAACCTGAAAATCAGAACTGTTTTGTTTTTTGGGTTTTTTTTTTTTTTTTTTTTTGGTACTGGGGATTGAACTCAGGACCTTGCACTTGGGAGGCAGGCGCGGGGCCACTGACCTAAATCCCCAGCCCCTGAACTCAGAACTGTATGAAATTACCCATAGTAGTACTAAACTACAATTTCTTGTTGCTACTGTGGTGAGTTCAAATATTCCAAGTGTCCTTTTCAAACACCTTATGATGTTCACCATCTTCTTGTGACTTCATCTTTCCAGTAAACTGCATATGGCAGTAAAAAGTGGTCTTGTGGTTCTTGCCTATTTTTAATCATATATAATTTATATGATATACAAAAGATACATTAATCAACTATATTATCATTAAAACTTCTGATCAACAACATTAAAGTGGCAGGTAGGTTTTGACGAGAGTCAGAAATCACATGCAGGACCGGGGATTAGCTCAGTGGTCCTACCACCTGCCTCACAAGCACAAGGTCCTGAGTTCGATCCGTGGTACCAAAATAAAAGAAATCACATGCAAATTCATGACTGGGGGATCAGTGCCTCCTCTCCAAGTTGCTCAAGGATCCACTGTACTTCCAAACTTATTTTTTCTGTTTAGAAATTGCTATGCACAGGGACCTGGGATTTAATTGTACCAACTAGACTGTTAACTATTTTCCCCTTAATAACTCTATGGTGCTCTTTTCCTGTGAACCAAACATGCTTCCATTTCTTTTGGTTGCCCAATATTCCATTGTTTGGATTTTGCATAACTTATTTAAGCAATAGTTTATTACTAGATATTAAAGGTATTTCTAATTTTTTAGTTACTATAATCTATATGGTGATGAATGTCTTTATAGTTAAAACTATATACACAGACTTGATTTTGTTTTAGGTTATGTTTTTGAAGATCTATTACTGGATGAAAGGATATACATAATTTAAAGGACTCTGATATCTTGACAATTCAAGGTTTTATAAGTAAAGTAGTACATACATGCTTCTCAGGTGAGTCTGGCTCTGTTTCTATTTGTTCAATTGGCACTGGTTTTATGTTTACTGGTGTTTCCATTCATCCACACTGCACTAACCACTACTTCTTACCATCAAGTGTCTTCCTGTCCCCAAATGCTCCAGTCCTGTACAGTCTCTGGAGAAAGATGTCCCTTTTTGCTTCTCTTTAGCTTGTGACATAGGTTCATTAGGACAAAATGTCTGATCCTATATCTGCACTGAACATAGAGGTTATCACACTTTTCTTTCATTATCATAAACTATATCCCCAAAATGTTACTTCAATTTCCTGCCTTGGGAAATCTTCCACAAGTCCTGTGACTTATCTGCCTTAACCTCCCAGTCATATATGGTGCTACACTCATCCTGAAGCGCTTGTAATTTTCAATACAAAATACTTACCGTGTCCTGTTTCTATGTGTCTGTATAGTTGCCCCTTTGCCTGACATTCCTTTTCTCTCAGCCATCTAAAAACTAACTAGATATCTTTTATGATCACCCTCTCTTTGAAGATTTCCCTCAATGCTGTCTGCACTCAACCATGTGACATGCTATGCTTTCCTTTACACTATAACAAATATTACAGTAGTTATTTATGCATAAAGCTCTCCAACTAAACTCTGAACTTTCCAAAGGGCAAAAACTGTCTCATTTATCTTTGTCTTCATGCCTTAGTTTCCTTGTTTGTGAAAAGGTAGTGATAATAAATTCATATTCCTATGAGGATTGAGTTAAGACATATAATGAGATTTTTTGAATAGTGTTGTTCACTACTAAAAGATTCAATAAATGTTAGCTATGTTGTTATCTTTATTATTAATATCTTACTGCTAGTG